GGTCAATAGTCTTAAATTAAAATCCGTAAGATATTTTGGTGGAATGATTAAACTTGAGCTCTATTGGATAAGGTTCGGGGTTTACAAGGATAAGATCAAAAAAAGCCCGGTTACATTACAACTCTTTATCCTAAGAGGATAAGGATGTCGCCCCTATATAAATAAGAGGGAGGTGGCAAAGAGGGTAAGACAAACATATTCCATCCTTTGGCCTTGTTGACTAAACTTCCATCATCCACATTTTTTTAACAAATAATTAAATTAATTAACAACTAACAAATTAAATAAATTAAACCAACTAACGAGTTAATAATAAATAATTAAAAAACAATAATTAACAAATAAATTATTAAACAAAAAATATAAAATTATTACAAAAAGAAAAAAGAAAAACAAATTAACTATAACAACAAATTAAATAAATTAAAATAACTAACGAGTTAATAATAAATAATTAAACAACAACAATTATAAATAAATTATTAAACAAAAAATATAAAATTATTGAAAAAAATGAAAAAAGAAAAACTTAATGAGTTACCAATTACAAAAATGGAGGATTAGAGAAGCGAGGAGGAGGCTGCTATCGTGGTACTGTTTAGTGGAGAAGAGGAGGAGGAGGAGGAAAAGGGAAGAGATGGAGGGGAAGAAGAAAAGAAGAAAAAATTAGAGCTTTCAACATGGGGAAAGTGGTCGCCTTGATTGGAGGAGAAATGGGGAATGGAAGGAGAAATAAGGGCTCAGCTACTACAAAGAAAGGAGAGAAGATGAAGAAAAATGGGCAAAAGTATAGGAGGTATTTAGGGATTTAGGTTTTTAGTGATGGTTTTAAATCATGGCTAATTATATTGTTTTTCAAAATTTTCATTTCCCCTAACAAGTAACAAATTAGCGATAGTTTCAAACAAATCATCGTTATTTTGGTAAAGTTCATAATAAATCCTTCAACTAAGTCTAACTTGACACTTAACTCTTTTGACCACTAAACATATTTTTTAAACCCCTATAACATGTCATATGCATATCAATTTGTATTCATGTATGCATGTATATATGAACGAGTAAAGCTTTTTGGGATAAAGATATTACATAAAAGCCCTAAACTAAGTCGACTAGGTAGGAATTTTCTCTTTGTTTGTCCATATTCATTTAGGACTTTTATTCATTCAGCCTAATTAATTCTAGATTCACATGATATATGGACTCAAAATTAAATAAGAAATCCCTAATAAATAAGGATTCATAACACAAAAGAATCATCCATCCACCTAGGCCACATTTGGCCTTATCCTTATACAAAAAGGAAAATTCGTAACCTTGGAGGGTAATTAGTTAGCCCAAGTTTTTGCACATAAAATTAGCCCAATTAAAACATAATTCAAATAATTAAAACATAATCCAAATAAAGAAAAGATAATAAAAATAAAAGGATAGAGGACTGAAAGTTTCAACCATTTTAGTGTGCCAAGCTGTCGACCAAGTAGCAGAGTGGATGCTCCCACATCAATAGGCTTTATGATTAGGAAAAGAATTGAAAAGAACTATGAACAACTAAAAAATGCATAAATAATTAAATTAATTATATCATTCTTTCAATTTCTAGTATTAGATGGTGAATTGAATCTAAATTAGACATAAAAAAAAATAATGATGCATATATGGGGTTTACCTTATAATTGGTCTATGTACAATTTCAATTTTTTGATTTAGATCATTTATTATTTTTTAGCTTGATTGAAATCCTCTACTCTTACAAGTTTGTTAATTTAGACCCTTCGTTATAAAGTCATTAACTATTTATCCTATGTGGCAAGTTAAAACTAACCATAGCCAATTATACAAAGACGCAATGTGGGCCTTGATCATTTTAGTATAAATTACGACCAAAAGTAAGACTAATTTTTCTTAAGACTAATTTTTCTTTTTGTGCTTTATTGTTTCTTGTTTTACTTATAGTTTTAAGCAAGTTCGACACCCTTCCTACAACATCAAAAGAATAGCAAATACCAAATAGTGAGAATAAGGAGAAAAAAAAAGAACAAGAAAACTTTGGAAAAGGAAAGCCCATTTTTAAGAAGAAATCTAATTGCATCAAAAGCTCGATGTTGCATCAACTAGATGCCATGCAAATCTTCATATGCATAAAATTAAAAGCCGAGAAAATCTGTTAAAATAAAGTTTAAATTGTTAATATGGCTTGTGCTTGTAATAAAGTAAGGTTTTTCTACCTTCGTTGTCGAATTTGGTCATAGAGAATGATGCAAATTTTGTAGTTAAAAATTTACGAAACTCTAGTGAAATTGAAGAAAAGAGTAGGTTTTGTAATCTCTCTATAAGATCCATAGAACCAAAAGAACCCAACCTCGAAATATGCACAATTTAATAAGAAAGAAGAACATATTTTCAAAATTTCAAGATAAATGAACATCTTTGTTATGTAAAAAAGATTTTACTAAGAATTGCATCGAAACTTGATGTTGGTTTTACATCACTTAGATACCGAGTACATTGTCATATGCATGGTTTGAAATACGGAAGAATTTGTTAACAATAAGACTTAAAAAGACAAGTAATAGTACTCATTCATAATAAGTTTCAAGCCTATAAGATTTCTAACCACATTCCAAATTTCATTAGTACCAAAAGTGATAGAATCGGATGGTTGAGAAGTTCCAACAACTTGAGACAAATTAATGAGAGAAGGGAATAACATTTGAGAATCAACTTCATATTTGCTCAAAAATATTATATTTATAAACCTAACTACTTACATGAAATATCATGCTCAAATCTTTTATCCTTATATTGACATTTGTTCTTACATGACCATGGAGGAAAAAAAATACACTAAAAAGGTTGTAAATGCATAAGAAGATCAAACTCGATCGAGTTGAGCAACATCTAAAAATATGACATTCACCTTGTCAACTAACATTCGATACTTTGATGGATGTCTAGCATCCTCAATGATGGGGATGATATTAGTTCTCTTTTTTGCCATGTTCAATAAGTCCCTCCCATTTCTTTGAGAAAATTCCACTCGCGTAAACCACTCTCGTCTATTGTAGATGATAGGAGAAGATAGGATCATTCCAGCTAGTAGAAAACTAAAAGAAAACGGCCTATATATACTACGTAGGGAAGAGAGAGAGAGAGAGAGAGCATGTTTATTCAACCAACTTACAAGTCTAACAAAGTCAAATAGATGAGAGATAGAGGTTCTCGAAGCAACTATTAAGTAGAGAACTCGAGCACCGGATGCCTAAATAATACAATGAGCAAATGAATAATAGTATGATAGAAACTAAATTTTCATCTAAGATGAAAAGAGATCCCGAAATGATAATAGTAAAATGGGTGGTGTCAAAGTCTCCTTCGGGGGACGTTGCTACTTATGCTACTTCTATAGCACCATCTAAAGAGATGTCTTTGAGCGAAGGCATGCCTTAGGTGGTGTGAGGGGCTAGCAAAGTATGAGAAGAAGAAAGTTGAAGGTCGAAAGGCAAGTGAGGCAATTATGATGGCCAAGATCTTTCAAATCGTTTCAATTTTATTATGATATTGCCACGTGTTTTTATATGATTAGCTACCATTCACTTTAACTTATCACATAGGATGAATAGTTAATGATGTTATAATAGAGGGTTTCAATTAATAAATTTATAAGAATAGAGGGTTTCAATTAAGTTGAAAAATAATAAAAAGTCTCAATAAAAAAAATTAGAACTGTACGAGAGACCAATTATGGGGTAAACCCTATATCTATATATAATTTCAAAATGAAGTGAAATCCTTCAAATCACTTTTACATGTAAAGATAAATTTATTTCTTTTATATCAAAAAACAAGTTATTTATCCTATGATTTAGAAACTCTTTATGGCTAAAAAAGAATCACCTCTCTTTATCCAATATATTGAAGATACAAGCATGTTTTGTTTTGTCCCTATAGAATTACTCATTTACTCTCAATCAAGGGTTGATATGAATAAAAATGTAAGTTTATTTTTTTCTTTTAATTTTTTGAGTTATTTTTTCTTTTAACTTTTTGAGTTTGAATTTTAAGATTAGTATATGTGAGAATTTATTTATCCAACATAAGAAAGTGTCCTTAATCACAAGGTAGTAGTCCGTTGGTAAACAAGTGTCGACTTGTAGTTAGGTCCAAAATTTGATTCTTATAGTCGACACTCTCGAGAATTTATTATCAAAATACTTGAAACCGTGTGTTGAAAAAGTGTCTTTAAGCCATTTTTAAAAAGAAATTAGTCTCAAATAGGGATGACAATCCAATCCGTCTCGACGTCGCCCCACTCTGCTCCACCCCGTTTGGGGTGCAAAATTTTACTCCGAACGAGACACGAGGTGGGGATGGATATATATATATTTTTTTTTGGGTAGGACGGGGATGGGGATGGTCATCCCCATCCCACCATTTTACTTTTAAAAAAGGTAATGCGGCGGGGCCCCATCCCATTTGGGGCGGAGATGAGAGTGAAATTTCGCCTCGAATGAGGCACGGGACGAGGATGGGGTTTTTTGTAGGGACAGGGCGAGGATGGGGATGGCGATCTCTCGCCGCCCCGCCCCATTGCCATCCCCGGTTTCAAAATGTATAAAAATTAGTTAAAAAACACCCTTACTGCTGAACCTAAAAAAGAAAAAAAGTAGCCGTAAAATTATTTTAAAATAAATTATTAAAAATATATATTTAATTTCGGTTTTCGTATAAACTGATAGCATTGTTGGAAAATATTAAATTAAAATGATTAGGACAGTAATAATAATTGGGCCCATAAACTTCAAAGCCAGCCCATATGCCAACTCAATTCTTTGCTTATTACCGGAGGACGTCCTTTTGATTTATGCTTGACTGATGACTGTCTGTCTGTGTTTGTGTCAAAGCGCAAAATCTGTAATCTCTCAACTGTACCAGTTCCAGAAGCAAAGGTAGGCTTAGTAGCCCCTTACTTGTTGCTGATTCAAAACTTCTGTCTTGAAATGGCTGCGTATAGAGCAGATGAGGATTACGACTATCTGTTCAAGTTGGTACTAATTGGAGACTCTGGAGTTGGGAAATCGAATCTCTTATCTCGATTCACTAGAAACGAATTCAACCTGGAATCCAAATCCACTATCGGTGTCGAATTCGCCACTCGAAGCATCCGTGTTGATGACAAGGTTGTCAAAGCCCAGATTTGGGACACTGCTGGTCAAGAAAGGTTCGCTTTTTAAACTTTTCTTTCATTTCAAATTTACAACTTACTTTATACTTGAGATCTCTTTGATTGCTACATGCCTGGATTTTATTTGTTTTAAAATAATGGGATTTTTGTTTTGTATTTGGTTCAACTTTAAGGTCAAATATTGTTACTGTTTTTAGGACTAAAGGCTTGGTTTTTTATTTTTTCATAAGGGTATTTTTGGTTTTGGGATATGGTTTATTATTCTGTGTTTAGCTGAAGAGAGTTGAATCTTGGATTTGCTATATAGTTTGAATTAGGATCTGAGATATATAGCACAGACCCACATGTGTTTCTTTTTTCTTTCTTATTTTTCGCTTATTCAATTGGGATTTTGTTTTGCGCCAAGATCTTCTTCTTCTTTTTAGTTAAGACTTAAGAGGATATGTATGCTCGGTTGTTTGAAACTCTTCTTGCGAGTTGAAGATGAGACCACAAGAGTTTTTTTACTACACTGATTTTATTGATGCTTTTGACGGAGCACATGCCACATCTTTGGGACACTCTCTAAGACAGGTGATATTTTGTTTCCACATTCCATGTCTTTGGGAGAATTAAAACCCTGAGATTCTGACATATGGTGCCTACAGTAGGATATTGAGTAAGTGTGTGTAGGTATGAGCTCTTGAATGGCCAATTTTGGCAAGCTGTTACTAACTTGTAGTTGCTCTACTTAGAGATCTATTTAACTGCTAGAAGATGCCTTTGTTTTTCCCCTCACCATCTTGCTTTAGAGTTGAAGATAATGTTTAACGATGTTGTAGCGCAGCTAATTAGTTTTTATTTTATTATTAAAGGATTTAAGATTCAAGATTGTTCCAGGATAAGTATAACAAGAAAATCATTTGAAGGTACTACCAGTGTGTTCATAGAGGCAACTTGCATATCGAAATGTGAGGAGAGTAGCCTTTTCCAGTTAGATAAGGTAGAACTGTTGTTATATGCAGTGCCAAAATTGGCATGTGATGTAAAAGCAACTTTCATTGTTGCATCTTATTGCCAAGAGGCTCCAATGTCTTGGTGAGAAGCTGATCTGGTACCGAGTAAGGACATATTGATGTGATGCAGTAGAATTGCTAGTTATGTGAAGTTTCAAAATTCAAAAAGTATTTTTGCCTGTCTGTCTGGGCAGTTGTTTTTATTTTATTTCATACCCATCAAAATTCAAATTGGTATTTGGAATCCTGATGTTCCATTTTCATGCAACCATTTTGATTTTGTCATGATCCCTGTTTATCTGCTTTCTTTACCCTTTTTTGTTTGCTGTGGATTATTATTATTTTTTTTATTATTATTAATTTATTTTTTTGGGGGGCTATATGACTGTTTCCATCATCTTCCTCTGGGATTGGAGCTGCAAATTAGCTGAAATGCTTGGCTTACCAGAAACCTCACATTTGCCTGACCTGTCAGCTGAAAGAACAATTTTTAAAGTCCAACCTTATTCTTTCTATAGCTGGCTGAAAAAAAAAATTTTAAATAGCTCCAACTTTAGCTTAAGTTAGTTTTTTTCATTGGGTTCATGAGGCAGGTCAACTTTAAGAAAGGATGGGTTATGCATTATAATGTGGTGTTCTAATCACTAGGTGGGGCATCTGTTTTCTTGAAGAGTGTGTACTTCTCAAAGTTCCTATTGGTTAAAGATAGGAGAAGACTACCATTTCAATTTTTCATGATGTTCTTCTGAAAGCGTTTGTCAAAATCTTTTGAAATCTGTTATCTGTGCAAATGTTTTAAATTAATTGTCAGCAAGGCCTCTTTCTGTGGTGCCAAGCTTGAGCTTGGCTTGTTAACTCACCGATTGTCCACTGAGCAAGCATTAGCCCATGCTTTGATTTGAAGCTTCTGGCCAACCAAGCCAGGCCCAAGCTACTTCCTGAGCTTCTAAGCTCAAACAGTGTGTTTGGCTCTCTCACCTTTATCTCATCATCTGGATGCTGAACCGTATAGAAGAAACAATAAAAATAAAATAAATTGTGCGCATTTTGTTGGTAGTGTCATTTGGTGCTTGTGATAGATAAGTTTATTTCTGCCATTTTTTCATTATCTTTGTCTTATAATTTTGGATTGCTGTGTAACTGTATAAGTTGAAAAGAATGATAGTAATGACAATTAGCTTACTTTCTTTGTTAATATTATCATGGCTGTGAATCTCTGCTTTATGTAACTTGTAAGTGATTGCTATCTTTATGCTTTACCATAGATACCGGGCAATTACAAGTGCATACTACCGAGGAGCTGTTGGTGCATTACTTGTCTATGATGTCACTAGACATGTTACATTTGAGAACGTTGAGAGATGGTTAAAGGAGTTGAGGGATCACACAGATGCTAATATTGTGATTATGCTTGTTGGTAACAAGGCAGACCTGCGTCATCTGCGTGCTGTTTCTACTGAAGATGCTAAGGCCTTTGCTGAGAGGGAGAGCACATACTTTATGGAGACGTCTGCCCTTGAGTCTCTGAATGTTGAAAATGCTTTCACTGAAGTGCTAACTCAAATATATCACGTGGTCAGCCGTAAAGCACTGGACATAGGAGAGGATCCCGCAGCCTTGCCCAAAGGACAAAACATCAATGTTAAGGATGATGTTTCAGCAGTCAAGAAAGTTGGTTGCTGCTCTGTTTAAACCCAATTGAGAGGATGCAGTGGACAAATAGTCCAGTTCTCTGCCACTATGAACTTAAGACTTCCTCTTGTCAAGTCATGGTCCCTCCCCAAATTTGTCATTGTTAGAGTCATGCTGGGATGGATTCTAAGTTCTTGAAGAGTTTGTAGTCTGAAGAAAATGTCTGCATCTTCCATTTTTCATTTTTCATTTGATGCCAGTTTCTTTATAGTTACGCAAGGCCCCATATGTCTTTAGTTGATGTAGCTTTTGTTGTATTTTATTGCTTCTAGCATAAAACATTGTTCTAGACAATTTAAATTCTGTACCTGATTGAATGATTTTTATGATACAAACTGATAGTTTCTATAATTATATTTGGGCCGTACGGTCGAGGGAGTCTTGATATTCCAATCCAGCTAGCTTGTAATTGTTTAATGTTGGAACATGCCGGCAAGACAATTAGTTCTATCATGGTGAATGTGAAATGCATGGACTTGTGCAATACATTTTTGCTAAATACAGTTGTGCCCTTATGATTGTTGCTTGCAATGTTATATGAAGCAGCAGCAAAAAAAAATGAAACTTGGATAAGCATGTGCTAAATGAGAGATCGTCATCTATTATCATTGTATTTAGAATGAAGACAGGAAAAGAATTTGTTTCGATCTACTCTCTTGGCTACAAGAAGAAGAAGAAGAAGAAAGGAAACAAGAGGGCAGGAAGAAATCTTTAAAAAAAAGAAAGAAAAACTAATCATTTCATTCAAATGTTCTAATTTGAAGCCAAAGACCTGTCGTCACAGTGCTTACAAGAATTTTCTAAGCAATGTATGAGCTTGAGACTCTTAAAAGCCTTTTCCAACAACTCTTTCTTGAAATCCCTCAATCTATCCTTATCGGCAACTATTTCTTTCCCATCAGCATCCTTAATTAAGGAATGCAAAACATTTAGCTCACAAAGGTATTTCAACTTCCCATCTAAGACCATAAGCAAAGCCTTGCTTGACAGAGTAGACTCAGAAAGGTCTAATATCCTAAGTTTAGGTAAGGATTCTATAATACCCAACACTTCTTTCTCAGTTGTCTTCCCATGAAATCCAAGCTCAACAATGTTGCAGCAGTCAGCCAGCTGTGATATAACATGCATATGCAACCCTTTATCAGGACATAATCGAGCATGAAAAACCTTAAGCTTCTTCCAATGTAAGAGCTGTACATATATTGGTAAAACCCTCGAACTTGTATCACAAGGCAGAACAACACATGAAACATCAGGCGTCTTTTCAGCTATGAAAATAGCAGCAAAATAGCCAAATATATACTTAGATGGGAAATATATAGACACCCAACCATTGTACCTATTGATGGCCGTTCTGAGAAGATAGGTGAATCTCAGCTGTTGTTCTTTGTCGAGCTTGTCGATCAAACGTAGGTCAAGTACGGAGTTTTTGAAGAGGGTGTCTAAGGTTGCTGAGAGCCATGCATGACATACACAAGGAGGAAGAAATAACTGTTCATGGAGGCTTAGGCATGAAAATATTTGTGATAATATGCAAGGGTTTAGGTCTTCCCATAGTGGACTGCTCATCTGCTTCTTTTCCTTCATGTTGTATGTAAAGTCTGTCTGGCTGCTTAATTAATTAGGGTTTTGAGGTGGGGATAATTTGCGATTGGTGTTGCTTTTGTGTGCCCTTTTGAGCTCAGCAGATTACAAGATTTTAAAAGTTCAGTTTTGGTAGGAAATCATGGAAGATGCGACATCATATATATCTTGGGAGATCTGCTCCTAATTTTCCTCCCATGGATGCAATACTGTGGTTGGATTTTGTTTTACTTTTTAATTAACGATGAATGAAGAGAATTAGTAACAGAATCAATTTATTTGATATTTTGGCCAAATAAAAATCTTTATTAGAAGAGCATTTTCTTTATTCATTAATTACAATAAAGACAGATATACCACCATCATTTTTCAATGTTTTTTCTTTAAAAGATAGGATAATTATACAAAACACGCACACACACACATATATATATATACACCAATCTTTTTAATAATTTTTAAATATTTTTTCTAGAGCTTCTGGTATTTTTTATTTTATTCTGGTGCTGCGTAGGATTATATTAAGTCTTAATTTTTATTTTTTTTTATAAGCTTTAAGTTTTTTTTTCCCTAGAGATTTATCTTGATTTTAGTGTTAGTGTTGTAATGTCGGATATGTGAAGTTTTTTTGGTCAATAATATCAAGATTAATAATAATTAATATTTGATTAAAAATCAAATTATTTATGCAAGTATCATTATTGTACGAAAACTCCTATAATAAATATAATTCTAGTGGCAGCTACGCTTTATATATATATATATATATATATATATATATATAATACGCAGTTTAAGGGTAAGTTTTTGTAATCTTTTTTGTCTCATAATTCATATATATTTATTTGTAATTACATGTAGTGTGTAATTTTTTATTCATTTTTAATTACTATCCAACCCTGAGAGAGAGAGAGAGAGAGAGAGAGAGAGAGAGAGAGAGAGAGAGAGAGAGAGAGAGAGAGTGGTCAATGAGCAAACAAAAACTGATTCTGTAACCCATTAGTTCGAGCGAGAAATTAGGGATTCCTTGTCCTTCCCATCAAAATGCTTAAATGTAAGATCCACGAACGACAAAAAAAAAAAAAAAAAAACACACCAAGTGGCAAACCGTAAATACATAAAAGAGGAAGGAGGTTCACAACTATTTTACAGAGTTCAGTCATATATGCACATCCTATACAACCAAAAACACAGGATCAAACTTCATCATACACTACAAACAAGAGAAAAACCAGCATGAGCTTAATTATAGAAAAATTCAGCAACCTCAGTTTGTCATCAGATTTATGACCCAACATTCCTGTGCAAAGCAAAGCGAAATACAAAAGTGAACAGGAATGGCACATTAGCTGAGAGTTAATAATACAGCACACGAAATCCATAATGAATGTCTGTACAGGTTTGATACATACAGAGCCAACAAATAAATGACTTAATTGTGTGACAGTTAGTCGTATATTTGCACGTGCATGTACAAAATACATATACCAAAATATCAACTTTGTTATAATAAACAAATTAAGAGAGAACTGGCAGTGCTTCCGAAGCTCGCCCATAAAACTGTCACCGCTTTCCTCTACTTTATTTTTCCTTTTATTTCATACAAGCAGGATCACCACCTTAAACATTCTTTCTTTACGTGCTTAAGGCTTCAGATTTGCATATGGGGCAGACATTTTTCAAGCGTAGCCACTTCTTCAAGCAATCTGCATGATACTCATGCCCACAATCAAGAGTTGCGATTTTCTCCTTGCTCTTATAATCATCCTGGAAAGTCCCAAAAGCTCAAAATAAATGTCATGCATTGCATGAAAGAGAGAAGACAACATTTTGGTCAATATATAGAATGCCAGGTGATAAAATTATAAAGCATTCTAGAAAATTGAGCATAATTAGATGATGTCCAAATACTAAATTCACAAGGTAGCTTTTACAATACCTGGCAAATAATGCAAGAATCAGCTTCTTGATCCATACAAGCTGCCTCTTCCAAATTGATTGAAGGAGATGATAAATAAGTTCTTGTTTTTAATTGGCTTCTGATGGTTCCCTCTGATAGTCCAGTATTTACATTACCAATACGCTCCCCTAGTGCAAGAAGCTCCTGTAGTCAAAGTTGAAATTTTCATGTTATAAAATATGGAGAGGACAATTTCAGTTCTTTCATATCAAATGCTTAAAATTAAGACATGTCAATCCCCCATTCATCTAGACAATCCAAAGCCAACTGGATGCTCATAAAGCTTCTCCTTCCTACTGAATACATTTCATGTTAAAAGAAAAATATTGTCGTCAAAGTATCTCGAGCTTACCTCATAAGACATGTCCTCTATATCCAAGCGCATATCTCTGTGGTGGTCAACATAATTCTCTACTTCATAATAGTCAGGGAAACCTAGTATTGCTACCCCCTATATAATGAATCAGAGTTATTTTAGCCACTTCACACAGAAGAAATACAGTTAATGGAAGATCGAAGCAAGTAAAACCAAAGGATATTTTTTTCAACAATAATATCATTATGAACAAAAGATAACCACTCATAATAAAGAATGACAGAAAAGAAATTGCAGAAATGAAAATGAAGATGAGGACTTACATCTGTTGGCAACACTCTCAAGTGAGGGAGGTTGCGATGTCTTAGTGTGGTCTCAGGTACAACTCCCTCACGGTGAGGCCTGTACATTCTAAGGCTGGTTGGTTGAACAGATCCGGGATGCCTAAGTCCAATATCTAAACCATCTTGAGATGGATTCATAGTGCTTTGTGAGGCATTGGCTGAAGGAACTCTGAATGAAGCTGCTGGTGCTTGAGGAAGAATATTAATGTTGTGGCCTCTCATTCCTTGAATTGGTGGAGACAGATGATGAAAATTGCGGTGCTGAAGGTTAACTGGAGAAGGGTGTGAGAAACTGGCATTGCTTCTGTTACTAGCTGGCTCATGATACCGTAGACCCATACTTCCAGTTTCTATAGGACCTCCATTGACATTGTTCCCTTCAAGAAAATGAAACAAGGTCTTAATGTTTCCATAGTTGGTCCATTTGTGAGTGAAAACAAAGTTTGAGAAAACAGTATTCCATCATACATAAGGAGACCAAAGAATAGAACTAACGAGGAAAAGTTAATGTTACCATGCATGTAAGGAATAGTAGGGGTCTGAGTCCATCCTGAAGTGCCTGCATCAGTAGAACTGTTGCTTAAGTGTTGATCTAACCAGGGAGAGCCACCTGGCTGATAGGGTTGACACAAATAGTTTCCTTGAATAAAATGGTTTGGGTTGTGCGCCAGAGCAGGATCAAGCCCAGCAGCACCTAATCTATTCCTCACACTTCTTTGAGATCCTGTTTCCCTGATTGATGAAGCACTGCTCCCTCTGTATTGTGGTGGGGGGAATGAAGTAGCATCCATCAGAGCAACCCCCTCAGGATGCCTTGTATTCAATGGGGCAACTGAAGAACTAGAGCTTGCCGAGGCATTCAGATACTGGAAATTCCCTAGGTTTCCTTCAGCATTCTTTCTCTTGTACGAACCTCTAGCATTATCCATTAAGTGACTGTTTGTGCCATACTCATCAGCAGAAACTCCAATCACTCCATAATTGTTGGAAGATGATAACTGATCACAAGACGTGTGACTGATAGGAATACCAGAAGATGGAGTCATGTAAGGAACATAAAAGTTGGGTGCAGTAGCAACACTTAAATCAAGATTTGGGCCATGAAATTGAGGATGAGGATGAACACCATGGTATTGGGGCATCCCATAAAACATAGCACCATCATAGCGATCTCCTAGATGGGCATCACGATTGATAGGGTTCCCAGAAGCTGTTACCATGGTAGGAATATCAGGCGGTCTGAAGTTTGTCACAGCCCCTAAAAGAATGCAGGGCTCAGGATGTAGATATCCCTGGCTTTGTTGATCCATTTCTAAATCAATCATCTGATTGGTGCATAGCATGTTTCTTTGTCCCATTTCTCAAATTACCCTGCTTCATAGCCAAGATATTCACATAAATATGTTAGAATCAGTTGGGAATGATAAACTGTGATACAATTTGTCATTGAAAGATAGAGTGCGGAAACAAGACAATAATAATCCACCAACTAAAACAAGGATGGATGTGTAACAGATACATGCATATGCATATTTGAATATATATAAACCAAGCAATAACATGTCAAAATACCATCCCAGACATTAGGAACACATGATGGAAGACATTAAATAATACAATAAGCAATATTGCTTCACAAATTACATCTGTGAATGTACATATTCCTTTTCAATTTAATACCAATTATAGAACAGCTTACCAAAAAGCATCCCATATCAGAGACAAATCAAATAATAGAGACTAATAGAGCTTCTCTACAAGTCCTGTTCAAATTTGAGAATGAGGTAAATTTCCAGATTCCCCTCATGGTTGGGCTTAAAGGCTGAACATGAGCAATATATTACACAAAGACCAAAAGGTCACCATGGTATTTTCATTTCAATGTTAAATTGCAAAGCATCCCATAAGTTACCACATAAATGCATGTATTCGATGTGTGGCATAAGAAGAGTGAAGGAAGAGATAGGGAGGATGTATAAGATCCCTATGACAAAACGAGAATGAGACAAGAGAACAATACCACAGTGAACAAGAGGAGAGAGTACGTATACGTAAGAGAAAGGGATTCAACTCCCAAAGCCAAGCTCACAGTATAACCCACTTCATGATCCCTATCAAGCCTTTGGTGCTTTCATGATGGATGAAAAACATAACATCTATCCTAGATGATGACACTTACCTCACTAATGCAGAAAGTCTGCAGAACTTTTTCTCACTGACATCTAAAATGGAAATGCACTCATGTCTCATCCCAATTGAAACTCAAGATGCAATGCGCTTTGGCTTCTGAATACCTTCTCTAAAGGAAAGGTCCCTAGTCCAAAACAGAATGTAAAGCCTCTAAAAGTACAAGCTGAGCATTCTCAACTGTCAAAACTATATGCACCCTCAATGTAATCAGCCTAGCTCAGCAATTGAAAGGCAGATCCCTTTTTTTCTTGTGCAGCATAAGATTTATGCCCCAAATGGATGCCAAAACAAGATGCTCAAGCAAAGCCTTTAAAATTCAAAGTACTCCCAAATCCTTCTCTAAATCTGGCATGAGTATGTAGAGATCTAAATCTTTTATTTTCTATTCTATTTAAATTTAAGCCCCAAACTTAAATGCTCTTCTTGGAGTAATTCCAAATTTACCCCATATGTACGATTACCAAGCCCTCTGAACAAGATCTGTGAGTAAAAAGGAAATGGAATAAACAAAAAGGTAGGACCACCATATTGCTGAAAACCTATCTCATGCAAGTACCAAACCAACATACACCAACTTTCAATCCGAAAATGACCAACCACTGAAGCAACTCAACAGGAAAAATATTATAATTGAAGGTTTTCTTCTTAATGAAACAAATTTTGGTGCCATCAAATCGAGGAAAATCACAAATGAAATGCAAGAGAATCTCCATTCTACAAAAGATCACTTTCATCCGTCAGGCCAAGTCAGCTTATACTACAACTAAAAGGAAACAGAATCCTCCATGAACCAAAAGAATTCAATATCATGCCACCAAAATTACATAGCCACTCCTTTGTCAATTCGATGGAGCTGACTGATAAGAAGAATTTTCTCCAAGCCAAAAGATAATAGCAACTATCCTTACATAACCTAATCAATGTTGCAACTTCATTAAGCGTTACATTTCAAGAATTCTGCAACCGATTGCTCCATCATCAACATAAGTACTTTTCTGCAGTTAATTCATGTAGGAAAGACTAATATACTCATCAATAACTATAACTTCATCCCGTTCACTTTTATTTCTTATAAATTACATAGAAGAACACCCCACATTTGCCAGCTAAAACAAGGTCACCAGGGGTACACAGGAAAACTTAAGCTAAAATGTTTAGGCTCATAATCCTTCACCTTTCGCTTATCAATTCACCCTATCCCAGAAATTATGAGAGGCCAAATACAGGCAGCACAACAAGATCTTTTATTAACTGACTTCAAAACTGTACCCAAGAAATCTAACTTCAAAGGAAAAAAAATCCCTTTCCAAGAAATCTAACAATGCCCGTTTAATCATATTCCCAAACGAACCTGTAATTAGATTCAATTATTATCAAAATTTAAAACTACAAAACACAAAAAAGAATTAACCAAAAAATTCAAAATCAGCACCGTATACCCATTATTAGTTATCCAAAAAAGGGGGAAATCCCGCTAATTAAAAAAAAAAAAAGAAAGAAAGAAAGATAAAAACTGTGCATAGATTTTGAAACTTTTTACAAATGGGTAGTAAGGGAAAAAGAAGGATGCCGTCGTACCTTGTGATCATGAAATAAATAATCAAGAGCTGGAATTTCACCCAAGGAGAAATTATGTAAAATAATTAATACCTGCAAAACCAAGATAAAAATAAAAAATACAAGAACCCAAAATCAAAGAATTGAAACCCTAAATTCCAGAATTGAATTAAGACCAAGAAAAAGCAAGAATCAACAGAGAAAAAAAGAAAGAAAACCTACAAATTGAGAGATCTCTGTGTTACGATTTGAGAGAGATAGGAAAGGAGAGAGAGATTGTGGTTTGTGTTTGTAAAATATAAGGTGAGGCTGCCAAACGTGGACGGGGTGGAGTTTTTTATTTTGTTATTCTTTTCTTTTTTTTTTTCTCTCTCTCGCTCTTTTAACCGTTGGCGTTGAGTTTATTACAGTGGGGGAAATTGTGGGGTTTCTTTCCTTTTTGTTTTTGTTTTTGTTTTTTTTTTACGGTCGTTGTTGTTTAATAAAGATCGCTTTAGCAGTACGCGTGTCCGAATAACGTTATGCGCTTCATACCTTGTCTCACTTACCATAAAAACCTTTAAACCATTCTCAATTTCTTACCATAAATTTTTTTTCCCTTTCCTAAGCAAATACCACTATTATTAAAAAAAAAACAAAAAGTGACTAATTATCCTTATTGTTAAGATAAAAATATAATAATAAAAAATTTTGATGGTCATGAGTCTTGCAATGCTAGAATGTTGATGCTAAATACTTCTCTATATTTATGTCCATACTAATTGGATATACACGTTATGTTGCGGTCGAACAATCCTTAGATACGTAAGGTTAATGATTCGCATAATATAGTACAGGTAAAAATCTTATTTCTAATAATTAATGTAAATTAAATTTATTTTTTGAGTAAAATCATTTTATTTATATATATTTATTGACAAAATAATCAATAATATTAACATAAAAAGTTGTATTAGAATAATTGAAAGGTTCTTTCAAAACATTATTTCAATTATTTTATTTAAAAAATATTGATTTTAGAACATAAAAAATAATAAATAAAAAATAATTAGTGTTATGTGTGTAGATACATAATTAATTTCTAACAAAACTAATGATATAAATTTCAATTATTTTATTTTAAAAAATATTGATTTTAGAACATAAAAAGAATAAACAACAAATAATCAATGTTATGTGTCCAGATACATAATTAATTTTAACAAATATATATATCATACTTAGTAGATTCGGAGTATATATATAGTATAAACATTGTTTTTTTTTTTAAAAAAAAAGTCATCTAAGTTGTGTGCAATATATTAAAGTCAATAAATTGAAATAAAAATATTACAAAATTGGTTCTCATAAATTTAACTCCTTAATTTATGATGAAAGAAATTATTGAATCACAAATTAAATTATAAATTAGTTCATCTAATTTTAAAAATTAATTGATTAATTCTTTTGGTTTTAAAAATAAATTATTTTATTTTTTCAATCGGTGTTGACCGTGAATAAATTTTTTATTATATAAAAAACATTCTCATATTTTTACGTATTTTTTTATTATTTCTCTATTTCTTAAAAATAAAAAATAAAACAATTGAAATAGCAAAAAGAAAAAAAATATAGTTTTTGAACCGAAGGGAATAATGGTGTAATGTATTCAAATACATAATTAATTTCCAATAAACCTACATATATATATATATATATATATATATATATATATATATATATATATATATATATATATATACACACACACACACACACACACACACATCATACGTAATAAATTTAGAGTATATAGTATAAATAATTTTTTTAAAATAAAAAAGCCATCTAAGTTCTATGAAATATATTAAAGTCAATAAATTGAAATAAAAATATTACAAATTTGGTTCTCATAAATTTAACTTCTTAATTTATGATTAAAAAGATTATTGAATTGCAAATTAAATTATAAATTAGTTCATCTCATTTTGAAAAATAAATTAATTAATTCCTTTGGTTTCAAAAATAAATTATTTTATTTTTTCAATCGATGTTGACTAGAATAATTTATTTTTTTATTTTAGAAAAAAATTCTCATATTTTTACTTTTTATTCTTTCTATATTTCTTAAAACAACTAAAATAGCAAAAAGGACAAAGAAATTAGTTTTTGAACCGAAGGGACTAATGGTGTAATATATATATAGTATAAACATTTTTTTTCAAAAAAAAAAAATCTAAGTTGTATGGGATATATTAAAGTCAATTAATTGAAATAAAAACTACTACAAAAATTGGTTCCAATAAATTTTAATTCTTAATTTATGATGAAAGAGATTCTTAAATTGCAAATTAAATTATAAATTTGTTCTTCTCGTTTTTAAAAAAGAATGAATTAATTATTTTGGTTTCAAAAATAAATTATTTAATTTTTTAATCAGTGTTGACCACGAATAATTTATTTTTCATTTTAAAAAATATCTTTTTTCATATTTTTATTCTCTCTCTATTTCTTAAAAAAAAAAAAAAACGTTGAACTAGCAAAAAGGACAAAAAAAATTAGTTTTTGAACCAAAGGGACTAATGGTGTTATATAAGTAGATACATAATTAATTTTTAATAAAACTAATGAT